ATCTCTTTTTTGGCATTTTGATGCTTAAAATCAGCAGTTACCTTGTTTTTTTTTTTTTTTTGACTAAGTGTCTGTCTAGATTGGATAGAGATCCCTTTTTTTTTACCTTCATTTATGCGTTGACAGATTCAAGCTACTATTTTCTTTTATTCGTAACATCCGCACATTCCATGTTTACGGATTTAGCCATAGGTTTCTATGTGTCCATGCTTGCCATACTTATTTGATCGTGCCTCTTATCTTCCATCCATCTTTGACTACTTGTAGCATGGCTTGTCTTTCTTTCGATCACATTTTTCCACTTTAATGGAGATGCCCACAACCAATCCCCATATTCAAATAGGTTTTTCACCACTACTTGGATTGGTGTTATTTACACATTTTGATTCAATATGCCCCAAGCAAAAGTTTGGCAAGCGTTTATATCTCAATCATTCAACTATTTCTTTCCATTGTTAACTTTAATCAAGATTGTTTTTTTGAGTGGATATCCACCTTAACTTAAATTCTCAAGAAAAGGGACCACCCTTCTTAATCTAGACCCACATACACTATACTTACGCTATGTTTGGATATATATATATATATATATAAAGAAAAAGAGACAAGTTTTTTAAAAGAAAGAAAAGGGTACATGTATCCTTTGTTTAGATAGTTAAAATTAATAAAAGAAATGAAAGAAAAGGAATTCTAACAACCATTGTTTGGATAAATAATGAAAATGAAAGGAAATAATTCATTATAATATTTTTTTTTCAATTATAACCTTTTTTTTAATAAAATAACATATAATATACAAATATATCTTTATCCTACATAGCTTGTATAAACAAATTTTTTTAAACAAAATTGAGTATGTTCAATAGGTAAGATGTATTAGTTATTTATTGATTTACTCTTAATTTTATGTTTAATTCAGTCTTTTAATTTATTCTTACAATAATTTGACTTGTTTTGTTGTTAAGACATAAAAAATTATAAAATATTTATAAACTGTGATGTTATATAAATACTCATAAAAAGAAATTATTTTTGTAAGAAATGTTAGTTATATAATTAAACCTAATGTTATGATAAAAATATGGATACAATAGTCTTTTTATAAAAATAAATTTTTTTCAACTTTTCTTTCCTTAGCTTTTTTTCCAAATTGAGTTATTAAAAAAATGAAGATTACAAGGGAAACTAAAGGTCATTAAGTTTTCACCTCTTTTCTTTTTTTTAAATTAAAAGTTTGTCCAAACAAAAGAAAGGTTTTTCTGTTTTCATTACTTTCCTTTATTTCCCTTCTCTTCAAACCAAACATAGGGTTAGTTTCCCTATTTTACTATCCACTCGTATGGCAACATCTTGAGATCTCATCCCTAATGGAAAGCTATAAACTTTGATCCTAAAAGCAGCTTGATTGAAACAATGATCCCCAAGTCTGGGCACGCCTTACACTATTCCATCATTAGCAAGTTTTTATCAAAAGACTACAGAGCCCTTTCTATTACCTTTTTCCTATCTGCCTTTATTGCAAACTTAAATAAGAAACAATTATCTTCTAATTCTATAATTTCCACCTCTTTTGAAATCCTCCATACCACCTTTAGAGTACTCACCATTACTTCCTTGTTAAATGGTTGGTTGTAAGTAGTTTTCCTACCATCCACCATCTTTCATCAATGCTCACGGTCTCCAAATCTGACTCTCTTAGACTAATACTATCCATTTCCTCTTCAATAAAGGTAATGGACTTCCATAGTCCCTTAAGATTTTTAGCCATCCTAAATCCTTTTCAAAAAACTTTCTAAAACAAAAATTGATAGAAAACATACTCTAAACTAAAACAACCCTCAAGAAGCCGTTGAAAATGAAACCTTAAGGGAGTAATACTCTTGTAGACCCCAAGACTAAAACTTCTACATAGAGAAGACTAAGATGCAAGACGACACATGTTAAATATTATAAATGAAGAGGGACCTACTTAAATAATGTATTTTTTTTTTAATTTTATACATTTTTTTAACAATTGATTTTAATAGATCATAATGATGATAGAGACAAGTAAAAATAATAAAAAATGATTTAATCTCATCTCTTGAATCTACTAAAATCAATTGTTAAAAAATGTGTGAAACTAAAAAGAAAAAAGTTATATATTGTGTAAGTTAATCTCTTCTCATTATAAATATGTTAAAATTAAAAAAATTTAATATACTATATTTAGATTTTTGTTTTTTGTGTTATGTTGTAAAAGTTTAATCTTTATTATAATTTTAATATTTTGGTATTTATATTTAATAATAAACATATCCAAAACAAAAATAAATTTTGAATGCTATCAACAATTTTCATAAAAATCCTTAATTATTTTTATTTAAGAAAATTTTAAAAAATATGAAACATTTAACCTTCTAAAATTTTTTTTTAAGAAATATTTTCTAAATAATTATTATTTCATTATGTTTAATTTATATAATAAAAAATTGTATTTTTTCACTTTATTAATTTAGGCTTTATTATTTTTTTTTCATTTTTTAAGTTTAGGTCTTGTTATATTTTCGATTAGGTTTTATTGTTATTTTTTCACTTTTTTAGTTTAGGTTTTATTATATTGTCTACATGACTTTATTATTATTTTTTTGTTTGCCTTTAAAGTTAGAAGCCTGGTGTGCTAAACGAAAATTTTTTTTTATTTTTTTAGTTTAATCTTTATTATATTTTTAATATATTGGTACTTTATATTTAATAATAAACATATCCAAACAAAAATAAAATTTAAATCCTCTCTACATTTTTCATAAGGACCATCCCATCATTTTTAAATCTAAAATGTCTTTTCTATTTGCTACAAAAAGCTTCCAACCTTAAAGTTTGAATTAAAAAAAAATTTTTATTGCAAACTCACAACCTATAAATAAATCAATTATTCTAGAGTTTTGATATATAAAAACTTAAAAAAAAAAAAACTAACTGTCAAATTCACAACCCATTTAAAAAACTAGAAAAACCCAAATATTAATATAGGTATCACTCTCTTAATCTTTTGGATTCTATTTGGTAAAAATGATGAAAAAAAGTGAAATAAAGAATTTATTAATTTAATAGGTAAAATTTATAATACTTTTCTACTTTATAACTTAATTATTAGATTAATAAATGTTTTATTTTTATTTATTTTCATCTTTTCAAGTAGACAAAGTTTTGGGGATTATTTTAATATAGAAGGAGTATAAATGAAGAAGCAATCTTGGATTGGCTGAGGCCTGGCTAAGGCTGATCCATTCAAAGTTAATCCGATTAAATTTTATGTGATGATTAATGATTTTTTTTTTGCCAATAATCAATGGTTAAGTTTCATAATTTAGTAGCCTATCTGTTCTATCGAACTCATGATCTGCAATGATGATGTATCGGTTTCGATTTGGTTTTTAAGTTTGTAAGTTGTAAGAATTTGAAGTCAACCCCATCGCTTTTTTCCACCATGTCAACACATTATTTTCTATCCTCGCAATGAAAATTTTGTTCCATTTCTTTTATGTTAAGGTGATAAGTTATTGGGTTTATCTTTGGATATATGATAGAAAAATAATAAAAAAAAACCTAAGACATTTGAGTTGTGTTTAAACTCTATGTACCCAACATATGCATCCAAAGAAGATAGATAGATTAAAAAATTTTAAATATTCCCCATTAAATAGTGTAGTCTTAGAACAATGACAACAATGTTTTATAAGGTGTTTGTTATGTTAATTAATTCAATTAATTTTGAATTAAATTATACAAAATCAAATAAATTAAATTATGTTATTTTGTTTTTATTAATATAATCAAATTTATTAATTTTGAAAATCTTATTGATTCAGATTTAATTTGGTTAATTTATAATGAATATTTAAATAAATTAAATAAAATATCTAATAAAATATCCTAATACCAAATTATTAATTTAAAAATTCAAACAACTTATAAAATGGAATGATCAATTTACATATTTTTAATTTTTTTAAAAGTTTATATTTCAATTAAAATTTTGATTAATTCAATTATCGAACCAAATTAATTAAAAATCAAAATTTTAGTAAAATTATTTTTGATAACCAATCAAAATTAATTCAATAATCGATCGATTAATTAAATTAATTCGAAATCAATTAATTCAATTAAAATCAAAATATATACACCGTAATAAATTTTATACAAACAAATTAATCTCGAATAAATTCCAAATAAAAACTATTTGAAAAAAAAAGGTTGATTGATATTTTAGAATTGTAATAATTCAATGGATTAATATCATGAATGATTTTTATATTATAATAAAATATTTAATATAATATCTAAATTTAAACAAATTAATCTTGAATAAATTCCAAATAAAAACTATTTGAAAAAAAAAGGTTGAATGATATTTTAAAATTGTAATAATTCAATGGATTAATATCATGAATGATTTTTATATTATAATAAAATATTTAATATAATATCTAAATTTTAAAATTTTTTTTATGTTACTTAAAATTATAAATTTATTAATTAATATGATACTTAAAAAATTATTTATTTATTATATATTATTATTTAATATTAACTATATTAATTAATAAATTTATAATTTAAATATTATATTAAAAAATTTTAAATTTAAATATTTAAAAAAATTAATGACAACAACTTAATCCCATCTAAAACCATAACATAAATGTTAAACGTGGCATGAAAAGAGTACTTACTTGAAACTAAATTTTCTTTCCATCTTGACCCAACCTTATCGATATTTAAAAAAAAGAAAAAAAAAACTTCAATGAGGTCTAACATTTATTTTCTTTTAAAATTGCAAGTAGAAATAGGCAACAGAGACAAAATTAGTACTAGCATTTACGTAGATTGAGAGAGAGGTATGAAAGGTACTGTGATTGAATGAGGAACAATTAGGACCGTATAAATTAAAACGTGTTTGGGGATTTATCTGGTCACAGTCGCTGCCACGTCGTTACGAACGTGTCAAACCGCGTTCTAAGTTCTAGCACCCCTTATTTCGCGGCGGATGTTCACGTTTAACTTTTCCATCTGTATAAACATATTGATACATTCGGACTATGAATACGTATGACATAATATGTATTATACACATTAAAAAAAAAAAAAAAACCCAACCATTTTTACTGGGAGTGGTATATTTTATCTACAAGCTACCTAATCCATCTCTTATGGTGTTGCGTTCTTTTCCTTTTCTTCTAACATTTTCTCTCTACATGAATAGCCTTGTTGTTGTTGTTGGTCCCCTTCCCTTGTTATCTTTTCTACCTGTCAACATAGAAATCCTTAACCTGCGCATCTTTTTACAAGCCGTAACTTCCAATTGATGACAGTGAAACCCATCTGGAAGACAAGGAGAAAGCGAAGACGAAGTCGAACACCAAGAGGGGAAGGTTGAAGTTGTGAATTTTTTTGTCCCCAGTTTCGTAGTGGCAACCGGAAAAATGGAGCTTCTGGTGGGTCCCACATTCAGTATCGAGGTTGCTGCTTCGGCCACGTATGTTAGAGACGGGCCTCAGGAGAAGATTTCCTCCTCTTGCTTGTATCTCAAAGAGGATGATGTTGGCTTCGACGATTCCTCCCCCGGGTCGGATCGCGTCTCTTCGTATGCTTCGTATGTGTCCTCGGAGAGTTCGTCCTCGATCGGATCTCTGGGAGACAGTGATGATGAAGTAGAAGAGGGCGTCGTTTCATCTGGAGGAAGGGGTGGTTTGGCTTCTTTGCGTGTTTTAGAAGACTCTCTTCCCATCAAGTTAGTATCTTTCTCCACTGTTTGCCCCCCTTAATCAATTCTCCTCTGTAGTTTCTGTGTTAAACTTGTTATTTGAAATTACCATCTTTTTGAGTATTGGGGGTTTGGCTGATTTTTCTGTTTGTTGGTATTTTGATTCTCCTGTGATATTGGGGACAAAAAGAAGGGGACAGCCATGAATTTCTTCTAATTTGTGTGACTCTGAAGGGAATATCCTTAATTTTAACAGAAATTTGAATTAGAAACAAGGGTTGTAAATTTGTTTGGCTTGTTGTAGGAGGGGATTGTCGAATCATTATGCAGGGAAATCAAAGTCGTTTGCTAATCTCTTAGATATAAGCTCAGTGAAAGAGTTGCACAAGGCAGAGAACCCATTCAACAAAAGGAGGAGGGTGTTGATTGCCAACAAATGGTCCAGCAGGAAGTCTTCTTTTTACTCTTGGCAAAACCTCAAATCCATGCCCCTTCTTGCTTGGAATGAAGACGATGAAGATGGAGAGGATAAAGAAACGCCATCATCAAATGACAAACTATCAGTATCAGTAGCAGCAACAAAACCAAGATTGCAACAAAGCAAGCTGAAGGCTACTTTCAAGCCACAGAGTTGTTTTTCTCTAGCAGATCTGCAAGTAGAACGTCTATAACACTCTTTGCTTTTAGCATGAAAATGGTTTAGGATTAAGATTACTTTTTTTTTTTTTTTAATATTCTCTTCCTTCTCTTCTCTATTTACTCAAAAAAGAACAAAATTTCTAGCAAGTATAAGTACTGTCATAACATATATATCTATAAATTTATAACTAGATTAAACAAAAGAGTTATTACTAATCATTTTTTTAAGTGTGATTAATCACTTAATGAATTTATTATTTTAAGGTGTTTTTAAATTTGACTAACGATTTTTAAAAAAATAAATTTAGGTCTATTAATCAGAACAAAGTTTAAGAGTTCGATTACATATGAAAAATGTTATAATACTTTCACATGTTCATCTAAAAGATAGTATTATTTTATTGTAAATTATCTTAAGATCTTGGTGTTATTGTTCTTAAATTTAATATTAAAATAATTTTTAAGATTTTTTCATTAATTTTATAGAATTCTTAAAAATATTTTTTTACTTCAAGAGTATTTAAGAATTTTATTTTTTTTAAAGACGTTTCATCGTTAAAAAAAAGTTTAATCATTTTTTTTATTTTGGTTTTTATTTTGTTAAAAATATATCTAATTCTTTTACAATTTCAATCAAAATTAAAAATATCTTTTCACTTAAAGATTTTTTAAATAATTATTTATTTACGATTATTAAGAATTTTATCATTAAAATTTTTTTTTACTTTCAATTCATTTTTAAAATTTTTATTATTTAGGTCAATTTAAAATTTTTTACAAGTTTTATTTTTAAATATTTCTTCATTGGGGTATATTTAAAAATAATTTTTTTTTTTAGAAAGAAAATAATATGATAATTATTTTTTGAAGTTTTCTTTAAATTTTTTCACCATTTGAAACAAATTTAAAGAAACTTTTTACTTAGAGATTTGTAGAAAATTTACTATTTGATATTTTTAAAATTTTTATCTTTGAGTAATTGTTAAATATTTTCAACAAAAAATTATATTGTTAATATTTTTATTTGAAAAAAATATAATTAGTTTTATTGAAATTTTATTTAAATTATTTCATAATTTGGGCAAATTTGGAGAAAATTTTCACTTAGAGATCTTTTAAGAAATTTGTCATTTAAAATTTTTAAAAATTTTACCATTGGGTAATTAATTTTTAATTTTAAAATTTTTATTAAAATTTTTTAATTTTTAAAAAATTAAAAATAAATATTAATTATGATTATTGAAATTTATCTAAATTTTTTTTCATTTGGGTCAAATTTTTAAAAAATTTTAACCTAGGAATTTTATAGAAATTAATTTTTTATAATTTTTAAAAAATTCATCATTGAATAAATGTTATTTATTCCTAAAAAAAAATTTATTAGTGTTTTCTTTTATTTCTTTTAGTGTTTTTAAAATTTAATTATGTAAAAATACTAATAAATAAATAAATAAAATAACTAAATAAATAAATCAAAAAATCAAAACAGGAATTGATTTCGCTCTGCGATTAGAGGGTGCGGTTCTGAGGCAAGAGGGACAACAATCAAAACCTCTCGACTTAAGCCAAAGCCTGGTATGTGGGTCGAAAAGCAAGTTAGCACTCGAGTTAGATCAACCCAAAGGAAAATACATGGATTTTAGGCTAAATTAAACGTTAAAATGACATCGTTTAAGTGGCGGTATAAGAGGGTAAAAATCTTTTTATTCTTTAGATTTTTTCTTCTTCCTCCTTTTTTTTTATTTTTTATTCTCTCTAAAACTCAAACGAACTCTGATTAGAGTTTTATCTAATTTTGAAAACTCTCATCGAAATTTAGGTAGATTTGTTGAATGTTTGTCAGTTTTTGGGAATCTGATATCAAAAATTAAGAATCTTGTCGAAAACTCATCAGAATCTTCAAAGATCGTCGAATAATTTCACCAAAAACTAGAATTTTCATAAATTGCTAGAAAGAAAAAACATGTAGATTCTCTAAAAAATCTCTAAATTTTTTTTTTACTTTTTGGCTGTTTTTGTATTTTTCTTTCTGATACTCTATGTATTACTTGGTTGATTTGAATTTGTATTTATAGGGTTCAAATCAAGAGAACCCTATATCAAATAGAGTTTTAATTTTCCTTTAATTTTTCCTCTAAACTTTAGGTTTAACTCAAAATTTACACCCCAAACAAATAGTTTCACACAAATTCAACAACCTGATTTTTTTCTCATTTTTCTCATTTTATTTAAACAGTTACAACCCTAGACAAATTGGGATGTCTATAGTTGTCCTTTTTTGTGCACTTTCTGTGAAACAAGAATTATGCAAAGACGTAGACAACTCAATCAAGAATCAACTTGACACATTTTTTACCTTTTTTTAAAAATAGATACTCAAACCTTTTGAATAACATAAAAACTCTTCCAAACAGAGGTTTAACACTTTAAAAAACATAAAAATTCCTCTCAACAAATGCTCAATTACTTTAAAAAAATAAATAAGGCTCTTCTGAAAAGATGCTCAATGACTTTGAAAAATAAAAAAAGCTCCATTGAGTAGAGGTTTAACAACTTTAAAAAATAAATAAGGCTCATTTAAGTAGAGACTCAACAACTTTAAAAAAAAATAAGACTATTATAAGTAAAGGTTCAAAAACTTTAAAAAATAAATAAAGCTCATCTAAGCAGAGGCTTAACAACTTTAAAAAATAAATAAGGCTGTTCTAAGCAAAAGCTCAATGACTTTTGAAGAATAAATAAGGTTTTTCTAAACAGAAGTTTAACGACTTTTAAAAATAAATAAGATTTTTCTAAACAGAAGCTCATGACTTTCGAAAAATAAATAAAACTCCTCTAAACAGAGGTTTTTTTTAACAATTATGCTCAGAGGTCTTATAGATCGTATTTGAAGAAATTTTAGGAGAGTATATCCAGAAGTCTTACAAATCATTCCTAAATACTCCTTGGAACAAAGGCTTCACAGCTTTAAAATTTTAAAAAATCTTTTTTGTCTATGACTGGTTTTCTTGAAATATCCTTTTTCAAGGATTAGAATATTATCTTATATGTTTCTTCTCAAATGAGAATTTTTAACTCTTTCATCAAAAAGTTTTCATATTTATCTTCACCATGCGAGACTTTGCAATATCCTTGTTTTCTAGATTCATGCATTAGACATTCCTAAATGCAATGCATGCTATGCAAATGTCACTTGATTAATTTTTTTTTCAATTTTGGTACATAGATTCTCTAGCTTTTTTATTGGACCTTGAACTCTTCAATCTTTAAGTACTAAGACCAAATCGATTTAATTCTTAATCATCCATCTCATTCAATTCCCATATTCTCCTTTTAAAGAAATCTTTTTCCTTTAAATTCAATGTCTTTACCAAGAAATTGAACACTTTATATTTGTCTTTATCACTCTCAACCTTTTCAAGGTAATGTAAAAATCTTTCATGCTATTATTCAAGTATCAATCATTATTTCAATTTTAAAAAGTAAAAATGTAATCATACATTTCTTCCATTGCAAGGTATTAAAAGAAAAGTTAAGGGATGGATTGAAAATAAATGAAAAATAGTCATCAAAAGAGAGATACAAAAAATGAAATGAAATGTCTCTTATTTAAAATGGTAGAACAACTTTGGCCATTAACAAAAAAGAATGGCTATAAAAATGGCATAGGATAATAACGTCTAAAATAAACAATAAAATAATCATGATAACAAATCTCGAAGTATTTTTAAAAAATTCAACCACTTGATACACCTAACAACTTAGAGCTCATCAAAACATACTAGCCTCCAATTGGTGAAGTCCTAAATTTCATGTTGCACCCTATTCATTTAAATTGCGTTTTCAGGTTTTTAACTTAGATGAATCCCTTTTGACTCAAGCTACCTTTTTGGGGTTTTCGATTTGAGGCATCCTTTTGTAGTTTTTTTTTCCTTTTTTTTTAATTTTTTTAAGTATTATTTCTTCATAGCATTAGAGTTTATAAGATTAGGCAAATCATTTCAATCCATCCAACTAATATCAATGTGTTGCTCGAGAAAACTTTTTTCACAACATATAATCCTTCCCAATTTGGAATCCATTTTCCTTTATTATTGTACTGGCTTGGAAGAATTCTTTTCAAAACCAAATCTCTTTTTTGAAAACAATGAAGTTGGACCTTTTTATCATGAGCTCTTATCATTTTTCTCTGATATAGCTGATCATGACAGAACGTTATCAATCTTTTCTCTTCAATGAAATTTAATTGCTCGTAATGCCCTTGAATCTATTCAACTTCTTCTAGTCCAATCTCTTTTAAGACTATCAAGGATGGGATTGTCACTTTCACTGGCAACATAGCTTCAATTCCATAAACCAAAGAAAATGGGGTTATCCCAGTAGAGGTATGCACTGATGTTCAATAAGTATGAAGGGTAAATGATAACTTCTTATGCCACTTTTTATAGGTTTCAGTCATCTTTTCAAGAATTCTTTTTATATTCTTGTTTGCCTCCTCGATTGTCCCATTCATTTTCGAGCGGTATGACATCGAATTATGATGCTTGATATTGTATTGAACATAAATTTTTTACATTATTTTACTGTTAATATTTTTAGCATTATCTGAAATGATTCTTTCTAAAAGTCTATATCTACAAATGATCTCTTTTTTTATGAACTTACAGATCACAGATCATGTCACACTTTCAAATGAAGTTGCTTTCACCCATTTCGTGAAATCATTTATCATTATGAAAATGAACCTATACCTATTAGAAGCCTTTGGGGTAATAGGACTAATGATATCCATGCCCCACGTAGAGAATAGCTAGGGTGGTTCCAAAACATATAAAGTAGTCGGTGGAGCATGGCCCTTATTGTAGACACCCATTTGTGTTTGAGGTTGATTGGACCATGTCCGAGGTCAATTGGACCGTTTTTATTATTTTGGTTATATTATAGTATTATATTATTAATTTTACTATTACTGTTATTAGTATAATATATGGTATTATATTACATTATTATTATTATTATTTTTCTTTTCTAACTGTTGATTAAATAACTAAAATTGAGAATTGAATTCTGTCAAAGGGTCAATCAAAGTACAATCAAGGAATTTTTTAAGCAGTAATGAACCTAGACATATGCTGAGGTTCGGAGAGAATTAAATTCTGGATTCAAGCCTAGATTGACTATTAGGAGACTTTACTAATTTTTTGAATAAAAATATATTAATAGATCTGACGATGAAGTCTCTTCAGAATAAGACATTAGTTTTTATAAATACTTTTGAGGTGAAAAAATTATTTTAAATTGCTACCAAACTATTGAGATAATTTTAAGATTGATTTTTAATATTAAATTAATTCGATAAATTATAAATATGATCAAGGCTTGGATAATTTGAAATTAAATTGGTACCGTTTGTTAGATGAGTGTTATGAGAGTGCTATAATCTTTCTCATGCATAATCGACTCT